CGCCTTGGGGGGGACGCCCCTGAGTCGGTGAGGTCCCATCTTGGAGCTGAGTGTAGGTGGTACGATGAACCTCCGCACCCTGAGCAGAGACAGACGCAAGCAAAAACCTGCATCTCGCTCCTTGCATGGGTAGGGTCCCTGGTCTTTGCGACCTGTTTCTCCTACACCTGAGGACTTGGTGAAATAATTCAGCACCGCACCTGGTACTTATCAGTTGACAGAACCTCTGAAGGGGTTCTAGTAGTTGAGAACCAAGGGCAGTCTAGAAAAGAATTAAAATCCTGCCTCCCTCTTGAAAACTGGGAAACTCCAGCAGATCACTGGACCGGGCCCAGAAGCCTGGATTTGTTCGTTTGCAAAGGAGGAAAGTGTGACAGCACTTCACAGGGTTGACCTGAGCTTTCAGGGAGGTAAGTGTATGCATCATCTCAACACAGCGCTGAGATGATGCATACCCATCCCTCAGCACGATGCCTGGCACACCAGGCTCTCCGAGATCCACTGGTGTAATCCCTGCCCAATCTATCCAAGAGTCCTAAAAGTTTAATGGAAGGGGTTTTGCTCCCAAACCTTGTGGTATAATTAGCTGGGAGGGGTTCGCTCAACCGTGGGGTTACAAGGACTCTTTCTTCCCACATCTTCTCTTTCCATTCTCAGCCCCAAACCTCTCCAAAAACCCTAAAGTTGGCAGAGAAACAGTAGCAGAGAACATTTTCCCTACTAGAGAAAACAAGAGTATTCGAGAGTCTCTTGGAACTTGTAAATGGTTGCATTTATTAGTCTGGCTTTTTTTTTGGGGGGGGGAATGAGCTACTGAACTCGGGATCTTGCCTTTGCGAGGCAGGTAGCAAGTCTGGCCTTTTTCAGATCAACTGACACCCCAACCTGGAGTAAAACAAAAAAGGGAACACACCTAAGCACGTAATTGAAAAGTCCTGAATAGTGCCTTGCTGATGTCTTGGGTCTCCCTTCCCATCTGCATGTAGTTCTCTCCACACAGTGGCCATGCAGCTCCGGGCCACATCTACATGACGAAACAGAGGCTGTTTCCCAGTACAGTTTGGGTGTCCCTTATCTGAAATGCTCGCAAGGGTCTCAGATCTTTTTTTCTTTTTCAAGACAATGTCTTACTATGCAGCTCAAGCTGGCTATCCTCTAGCCTCAGCCTCCCACATAGTACTAGGATTACAAACACGGACCACCCTACAAGTCTCGGATCTTGATTTCGGAATACGTGCCAACATATAATGAGAAATGTGGGGAGGGCCAAATCTAAACATGAAAATTTTGCCTCACATATACCTTATTCCCACAGCCTGAAATTTTTTATATGCAGTAATATTTTTAATAATTTTCTCATGCCACGTTTCATGATAGAGGATTTTCCACGTGACATCAGTCCTCAAAGTTTGGGATTTTGGAACATTTTGAATATTCAGAGCAGGGATATGCGAGCTGTAGTTCCATCCAGAGTCCAGAGTTGACTCGCATTGGCCCCATGGGAGCCAGGTGCCCTCATCTGAGCAATCACCACAGTCAGATTGGCCAGGCCTGACTAGTGTTATGTAAAGGAGCTGAGGTCAATCACGCGGCCTTTTGGCTGAGATCAAGTGTAGGAGTTGAGGTCATTCCCTCCAGGACACGGGAAGGAGCAAGAAGCGGATGCCTCCCAGTGAGAAAGAGGGATGCAGTTACCACACGAAGCATTGGGCACAGGCTGGCACAGATAAGAGCTATCTAGTGTGCCATTATGTGGAAATGCAGGGCATCCACCGTGGAGCTACCTGCCTGTTCTACAGAAGGGAGTGGCAGTTACTTCAGCCCCTGGGAAATGATCCTCTGCCTCTGGTCCCACCCTCCACCCCTGATGGCATTTCCCAAATCTGCTTATTCACAGGCATCCCGTTGACAAAGCAATGGAGAGTTGAGGTGTTACTTCTCTGCTGAAGCACTTTCGGCTTCCCTCCGGCTACATACGCCCCCCCCCCATGATGAAGACAACACTGAAGAATCCTTTGTCACGTGCCAGGCACTTGGGGGACCTTCCACTGATGCCTCACCAGCAGCATAGAGGGCTGGTACACGCTGCCTCCGCTTTACAGAAAAGGAAACAAAAGCTCGGCCATTTCAAGTAAAGCGCAGAGCTCGGTTAGCACAGTATTGCTCCCATCATTGCCACCCCGGGTCCATTTGCTCTTTTCCAAGCCCTGTACCCACCTCCAGCTAGGTGGACAGTGCGAGTTCCGTAGCAGAAGGGCCTTTCAGGGAACCCCCTCCCTCAGCTTCTGTGGTTGGGAAGCAGGCGCTCAGCTTGATTATTCCCCCCACACCACGCCTTCATGGAATAAGGAAAAAAAATCTCTCCCAAAAGAAGTCAGACAGAGCCCAAAAAGAGGAAGTCAATGCTGGCAGGTCCCATCAGCAGCAGATGGTTCCCCTTTCATAGGGCCATTGGTCTCCTCCGGTCTCTGTAACAGGTCATCACAAACCCACAGACCGGGTGCCTTAAAACAACACAAATTTGTTTTCTTACAGTTCTACAGGTCAGAAAGCCGTGAAGGGTTGGTTGGTTCCTTCAGGGGTTCTCATGGGAATGTCCATTTCCTTGTCTTGTTCAGCCTTCCTTTCCTTCTTGTTCAGCCACAGTGGTACTCTGTGACGGCCCCTCCCTCCATCTTCAAAGCACATTATTCTGATTTCTATTCAGTCATCACATCACTATCTGGGCTGACTCTCACTCCTCAAAAGACCCTCACAATGACACTGGGCTCAAGGGGTAAGACAGGAATAATGTTCTTGTGTCGAGATCTTTAATGATATCTGCATAGTCCCTTCTGCCATGTAAAGTAAAATATTCCCAGGTACTAGGGGTTGGCGTTAGGGCACTTCCTGAGGGCCACTGTTCAGCATACCACGGCAGGTACCAGAGGGAGCTAATACCAAGTGCTCTGGACACAGAAGAGCTGGTAAACTCTATTTCCACGAGGAAAATACTCTTTTAAAAACCACAGCCCCATATTAAGTATTCAGATGAGTAAAGCCCATATAGAAGCCCATTTGGAAATCTCAGCCTCATTCCTTTAAATATTCAAACCACCTAAATTCCTACTAGTTCCCCTCAGAAAGCTTGCATACCCTCCCAATTGCCAGTCATTACCCTGAGTGCCAGGTGCCAGAGACAACAGCAGTGTGCTCTTGACTCTGGTGAGTGGCATCTCTGAAACATGGTGCTCAATCTATGTCATAGCCAAGGAGTTACAGGTAGTCTAGCACCAACCAGGCAGAGTAATAAGAGGCAAATCAGCCAGGGATTTAGCTCAGTGGTTCCAGTGCCTGCTTTGCAAGCACTAGGTCCCAAGTTCGATCCCCAGTACCAAAAAAATTAAAAATTAAAAGAGGCAAATCACAGTCAGGTGTGGTGGCACGTGCCTGTGATTCCAGCATTCTGGGAGGCTGAGACAGGAGAACCCCAAGTTAGATACCAGCTATCAAGCAACTTAGTGAGACCCTCATTAGAGGTTGTGGCTCAGTGCAAGGGCACTGGGTTTAATTCCCAGTACTGAAAGGAGGGGAAATGGGAAAGGATACGATCAGTGGGTTAAAAGAGACACAGAGGATCCAGCCATTAGAACGGCCCGTAGACCTCATAGCTGCCAGGCGCAGCCATCTGTATTCCTGAAACAAATTCCCTTTCCTATAAAGTAACACGAGTGGGCTCCAACTTCCACAGATCAGCAGGCTAGTCTGGCAGCCAGCCTACAGAAACTGAACCAATTTGCAGACCAGAAAGCAGTCTAGGGCCAGGGATTTAGCTCAGCGGTGCTGCCGCCTGCCTCCCAAGCACAAGGTCCCAAGTTCAATCCCCGGCGCACCAAAAAAAAAAATGTGATCCTTTTGGCAGTTCATGCTCTTTTTTATTTTTGTACCCGGTATTAAACGCAGGGCCTTGTCCTTGCAGGGCAGGCACGGTGACAGTGAGCTAAATCCCCAGCTAGTTCAGACTCTTATAACCGAACAGACTGGCATTTAGGATTTACATATCAGTCTTTTTATGAGGTCAACATCCCTGAATCTGAATATAAACTGGTTAGACAATATTAATTTTAGAGTCTGCAGGATTTGGGTCCCCATGTTGCCATGTAGAAACTGTGCGATGCTGGAAAAGTTACCTTCTCTAAGTCTGGGTTCCTCATCTATAAGATGAGGGCAGTTGAAGACCTAGCTTATAGGATCGCTATGAGGACAAAGCCAGCCAAAAGTAGGGTTTCACAGAGACTGATCGCTACTAGGTCAACATGACAATGCCCACATGCCTGAGCTCCACAGCTGAAACCCTAGCAGTTCTGAAAAACAAGTCACCTATAACTCATCTGGCAGGAAATACAGATATGAACTGACACAAGTCTCCTTATCTCTCTCTCCTTCTCACTGTGAAAATCTGCTGCTGAAATATCAATGTGTAAGGTGACAGGACTGAAAATGGGTTTTTACACATAATACAAAGCAGAAGTGCCCTATCACCTTCCTAAAATGAGAAAAACTTTGAATTTCACAACTTATCTGGTCCTACAATTTCACAGATGGCAGTTATGCATCTTTAACAGAGTGAGGATGGGAATTTAACACTGTCCACGATATACCCGCCAAGGTACTTGCCCTTTCTTGGGCTCTGTGGCAGCTGCCACTACAAACTTGACCCTAACCCTACTCTGCGCCTTCCCTGTGACCTTCTAAGGGCCCCTGAGAATTTGTATTCAGCTCTTGCAGACTAAACCAGGGTGGCAGCCTGCAAACCAGCCTGGTGACAACAGTCAAGGGAAGGTGTCACATCAAAGGCACACGATGACCTCTAACACACACACACACACACACACACACACACACAGAGAGAGGCATTCAGAACTAAAGCAGCAAACATAAGCACAAAGCCCGAGTTCCATCACGTTTTTAATTGTATACCAGTGATTGTAGAAAAGCAATTATTCCCGTAATTAAAATAAAAGCTATAAAAAAACAGACTTAAAGAAATAAGATGACAGCAGAGGGAAAGAGACATTTCTTTCACGTTCAGATCACAGTGTTCATGACATAGCAGCACACACAGCTGGACGCTTTGTGGTCTTGGTGTCCTCGGCTCCGGCTTCGAGAGGCCGTTTTCGACTCGTGGAAGGCTGGAAATAGAAGAAAAAGGAGAAATCTGAAAAGAAAATCATCAGCTTCTATCTAAAATGTTTCCTGTAAACTGGGGGCACCACACCCCTCTGGACTTGGACAAGTTTATCTACTTGACATTCCTCTGCCTTGTGCCTGCTGAACACTTACTGACGCGGTTTGACCTTGAGTTTCTGCACACACAGTGTGATTCAAAAGCACCACACAGACAGCAGAAAATGAACTTCGACTCTGGATCTTACCCCGAGCTGGCAATGTGTAGTACAATACTCTTGAGATTGGGAGGTGGGTACCGGGGATCGAACTCAGGTCCTTGCACTTGCTTGCAAGACAGTCAGCAGAACCACGGAGCTAAATCAACAGCCCTCTTGAGATTTGAGAGGAGAAACTGACACACTACAGTGTACTGTGTTGCTAGGCTAGGATGTGCAGTAGTTTAGGGGGAGTAAATGTATTTTTGACTTAAAATATTTGCAGCTTAAGATGGATTTACCATCCGCCAGGGATTTAGCTCAGTGGTTCTACCATCTGCCTCGCAAGCGCAAGGACACAAGTTAATCCCCAGTACCACAAAAAAAAAGGTGGGTTTACCAGAATATAACGCCATGCTAAGTTACAGAGCAACCTACGTATTGAAAATATGCAGCACCAACAGTCTCCTCTTGTTCATCTTCTCCTAAATTATCACATTTAAAGACACTACAGGGATTGCAACTGTAGCTCAGTGGTAAAACATGCACTTAATATGTGCAAGGTCCTGGGTTCATTCACAAGCACCAAAAAGAGACTATAATGTCTTTATTTAAAACAAAGAAAAAGAAAAAAATGCAAAAATCAAAGGAGAAAAAAGAAGGAAAAAAACCCTCTATTTGAAGCCCTCCCCAAAAATCTTGCTCCTTATGGAAAAATAATCTTTTGGGCCTCAGTTCTTTCCCCACTTATAAAATTAGGAGTGAAGAGTAGGGGAAAAAAAGAAGAGGTTTTTCTGGGCATGGTGGTGCACGCCTGTAATCCCAGCGCTCGGGAGGCTGAGGCAGGAGGATCACAGTGAGTTTGAGACCAGCCTGAACTACATAGTGAGTTCCAGGTCAGTCTCAACTACATAGTGAGACCCTGTCTCAAAAAAAAAAAAAAAAAAAAAAAAAAAAAAGCGGTTTCATTCACCAAATGAAAATAGGGCCAGGGCCAGAGATTTAGCTCAGTTGTACAGCGCTCATCCAGGATGCACAAGGAACATGGTTCCACACACCGCCCCCATAACAACAACAACAAAAAGAAACACAGCAGGGTAGGAATGAGCAGATATTAATTTATACTTACAAATAACTTAGGAAAATAACATTATAATCAAGAAATCAACCCCTTGCCCAAATTTTTAATTTTCCAACCTATTTTTTTTTTCAGACAGGATCTCACTCTGTAGTACAGGTTGGCCTTAAACTCATGGTGATCCTCCTGCCTCAGCCTCCTGAGTGCTGGGATCACAGGTGTGCACCACCATGCATGGCTACATTTTCCAACAAATTTAAATTTGAATCTTTAACAGAATGCTGGATCTTGCCTTGTGCTCCTCTAATGCATTAAACATCCCGACTTATTGTCTTAAGCTACTGGAGCAGACAAGAAGAAAACACAGTATCAACTGGATTATAACAACAAACAAACACACACACACACACACACACACACACACGCACTCAGGACTGACCCCAAGGCCTATGCACTTAGCTACATCCCCAGCCCTTTTTAAATTTTTTATTTTGACACGTGGTCTCACGAAGTTGCTAAATTGTCCAGGCTAGGCTCAAACTTGATCCTCCTGCCTCAGCCTCCCAGACAGCTGGGATTACGGTGTGTATCACTTTCTAGGCTTCTAATCTACACTTAGCAATCACGAATAGGAATACCTGGGGTGAGACCTGGGGTAGAGCCAACGGCTTATTTTCCTCAGCCAGTAGGTTCTGAAACTTAATCTTCATGTCCTCATCCTGTGAACAAATTAAAACCTTAGTAGGTGACACACGAGGGAAAGGAGGGTTCTAAGAGGACACGACCATCCCTGTCCTCTCGCGGTGATCTCATGAGCGGTCTGTGCTCGGTCAACACTGGCTGAATCAGGCCCACGTGCCCAAGAGCTCTTAGTGGGTCAGCGACCACAAACCCTAGCAGCTAAGACTTTTAGAACCAGCATCCCAGATCCTGAGAGAGATGACAATCAGGAGGCCAGAGTGTCGGGGCTGACACCAAGGAGCTTCCTGAACCCTTCTGGACCTCTCCCCTCCCGGCCACCAGGAAGGCTAGTGATCCAGGCCATCCTAACTGACTCAGCACCCTCAGAAAATTATCCAGCACATGTTGTACAAGTTGCCCAAAGGACTTGAAGCCCACAGTATCCCAAGCTCAGATCTAACAACGAACAGGGCAGAGCACTAGGTGTTGCATGCTGGGAGCCGGAAGGAGACAGAGAATGCTTGTCCAGATTTGTCTGAACACAGCTGCCACCTGCCTGGATGCTCAACACTGCACACGTCAAGGATTTGCATCTGGTTTTGTTCTCCCCACCTCTGGAAATGCAAAACACCCGTAGCTAGGCAAGTGGGTTTTGGGTAGCCAGAAACCTAGCTCAGTCTCTCACAACGGCAAGTACAGAACAGACCCAGAACAGTTGGGTTCCAAAGCCCCATGCATTTTCCAGCCCAACACACCCTCCTCCCTCTTCCTCCCCCATACACCACGGTGGTCAGGCAGAAGACACAGGGACAGAGGCCTCCAACATGCAGCAAATTCAGGGACACAGCAAAACGACATCACGGGCAGCCTGACGGTGAGTTCCCCTCTCTCCACGACCGAGGCCAGGACCACCAGCTCCTTCCATCCCACTCTCTCACCGAGTCACTCAGCACAGGCCCGCATCCCAATCTGGGCGACACCCAACACAGCCGGCTCCGCCGCGAAGCCCCTGCAAGGCCTCATGACCGCAGTCGTCCCCCGTTTCCACCACGCTCACTCGTGCCGGTCCCCATGCACCTCGCGCCTTCCTTCACTCGGTGAACAACACATCCTGAGCACCCCGAGATGCCAGGTACTGTACCAGGCACAGGGGCTCCACAGCAGAGGGATTCTGTGAATGCAGCTGACCCACCCATTCCCCCAGGGCACGGCCAGGCCCTCAGCCGTCAGAGCTCTTCGCGCTGTGTGAAAATGAGGGTGCCCAAGCCCGTGGGCAGTAACAGCGCTTCCTCCTGGTTCAGCCGCACACCCTCACCGACCCCTCTCGCCACAGGTGTCGCACCACTCTGCAGTAACTGCGGCCAGTGTGGGCCTCAACCCAGGCTGCTGTCAGCTGCCCAGGACAAGGACTGATCTGATACCGCTTTACACACCTGGTACCTAACACTGCTTGACACACGAGCTCGTTAATTGTGTTCTGAGCTAAGAGTAGTAGTGCACACTTGTAACCTCAGAACTCTGGGAGGCTGAGGCAAGAGGTTTATAAATTCAAGCCCAGCCTGGGCAACGTAGCAACTTTGGAAGATGCTGTTTAAAAAAAAAAAAAAAAAAAATGGCAGGGGGTGGCGGTGCTAGGGATATAGCAGCTCAGAGCAAGGGCTTTAGGTTCAATACTCAGTACCAAAACAAAAGCTATGTCTGGAAGGAATGAATGCATAAACAAATGAAATCACAACGGCACAGCGCTAGGGTGTGGCTAAGCGCCCCCCAAAGGCATGGGTGATAAAGGCTTGGTGCCCATGGCATCACTGCAAAGCGATGGAGCCTAATGAGAGGAAGTTAGGTCATCGGGGACACGGCCTCAAAGGAAACCATGGGACTCGGGCCACTTACTAGTCCTCTTTGTACCAGCCGTGAGGTGAATAGGTCACCTCAGCCAGCTGCCTTACTATGAGCCCAAAGCAACATGGATCCATCAACCTCCAAAACTGAGCCAAAACAAGCCTTTTCTCACCATGTAATCCCAGCATTCAGTGCGATGGGGCAGGAGGAGCCCCATGAGTTCAAGGCCACCTTGGCCCGGGACTAAAACTCAGACTTCGTCTTGAAAAGGTAAATAAACCTTTCCTCCTTTGAAACTGATTAATCTCAGGTATGTGTTAGAGCAATGGAAAGCAGGGTAACACAGATGCCCTTCTGTGGGCAGCCCTTTCGTGCTGCCAGAATAACCCAGAATCTGTGTAAGTCATCAGTTAGCAATAATATGAGAAAGAAGCTTATTGTTGACACAGATAGCAGAGTGTATCTATAAAATCCTTCCTTTGAGTTGTCCACAATCTATTCATTCAAAAGTATTAAACTCATACAGTGGGACACGCTTGTAGTCCCAGCACTCAGTAGGAGGACACCACAACTGCAACGCCAGCCCGAACTACACAGCAAGATCCTGTCTCAAAGAAACACCCAGAAATTAAATAAAATAAACATTAAATAAAATTAAAATTAAAATATCCCCCAAAGACCAAGGAAGAAGGAAATCTCTATTTTAATAAACATTAGGCAGAAAGAAGATATAAGAAATGCTCTCCAAACTGAACATTGTTAATGGCACAACAGAAACAAGAATTCACATCCCCAATACTCAGCCCAGTGCCAGACCCACAGAACCATCAAGGCTGTTAACACTAACTTTCAAATATAAATAAAACTTTATTGCCGGGGATTTAGCTCAGTGGTGCCACCGGCTGCCTTGCAAGCCCAAGGACCAGAGTTCGAGCCACAGTACCAAAAACAAAAACAAAAACAAAACTTTATTATTGCGAAGCAAAGTGACTGGCATGTGATCTAAAATACTGGTTCAGGGCCTCTGATTCCAGAGGACATCAGCAAAGCCTGATTAAATTTGCCAAGTCTTGGAAAAAAATCTAAAAAATAAACAAACAAACAAACCTAACCATTATTAACGGCTGTTTTTAGATAGCTAATCTGCATCCTTAAACTTCTCTCCACCTTTGGCTGCAAAACATGTGGACAAAAGAGCATTCACACGAGGGCCCTGTGTTCACCTTTTGCTTGGTTGTGAATAACAGACTCCGCTGGCTTGTAAATTTCAGGCAGACTCAACACACTATTCCCGAAACTCACCCGACAGCTCCATTTTTTCCAAGGCTAACCCAGCTCCTCTACCTCTACAGTGGACCCCCAAGAGTTTCCCTACTGGGACACATGAAAAGAGCCAAGAGGCGTGTTTTTCTTTCTCCATGAAAATCAAATCCCCACATGCAAAGGCACCCTGTGTTTCCAAGCTCCCTTTTTCTAAGGTCCTGCTGTTTCAAACCCATTTGGTCCACTAAATGCTAAATCATTTGACAGATTTCTTCTGGGGGCACTGCTGTTTCCAGGGCAACATCCAAAACATAGTCTGCCCCCTCCCAACTCCCTTTTATTCTTTCTTTCTTTTAAGGATTTGTTGTTCTCAACCTGAGCTGGCCCAAGCAAAACTGTTAGGTATGCAGAATTGCAAGCGGGAACAGGGACGGTCTCCCCAGAGGCCCAGGCTGGACTGCCCAAAGGATTCCTGGACCAGCAATCCCGAGTAACAGCTTCCGACTTGAGCTATCTGTGTCATTCCAGCTTTAGTGTGTATGCTGCTGAAGTGAGCACTAGCTCAAGCTATTTGATGAAGACCCAATCATCACAGGAAACAAAAAGGCCATGAGAAAGTTAACAGAAAGAGCCATGGTTGCGGCGAAATGAAATGTACTGAACAGAGTATCAGACGTCCATCAGAAAACCTCCCTAATGCTGTGGCTAATTCCAAAGCCAAAGATTAACCCAGTGAAGTCACAAAGGACACGCGACTCTGGAAGTGCTGAATGAAGTCGGCTTACAACGGAAAAGGCAGCCACACTCACAGCACAAACACCGAGGTCATGCAGACCGGAAAGGCGCAGGTGACAGCCGACACCAACGGCATGCTTACTCACCAGAAACATGAAGTGGGACCCCTCCTGCCCAGTCAAGCGGGCTTCAGGAACAGCTGCATTCCCTCCTGGGAGGCTGCCCTGCTCCAGCTGCCCCCTCATCCCGATGCCCTGATTGAGGGCAGGAGATGGCAGGACGGCAGCCCGGCCCACCCCACCTGTTGGAGGGAAGGTGAGGAGGGCACAGAGCTGGGGGTGGAGTCCGAACAATCTCTCGAAGGACACACTGGAACTGTCGACTCAGGACAGCCACAAAGTGAGCATGTCCATCCCCGAGCCATAGCTAACAGGGAAAAGGATGAACGCCCCAAACACCCACCACACCCCACATACCCTACACTTGATCTGAAACAATCGCACAAACAGATCCAGCAACACAAAAATTTGGGTTTCCGTGTTCTTCCCCACCTCACTGGGCAGTTCAGCTGGGGCTCCGCATGCATTTAATACAAGGGGGAACCTCCCACACCCACCTGAAGCCATGGGTGACCTAAGGCTTCTTGAGTCGTAAACCGTGCCTTGGGATCCACCACCAACAACTTCTTGACAAGGTCCAGAGCTAAAGCAAAAAAGAATCAGGCAAACTGTAGTGAAAAGGATTAACACACAAAGGCGGTGCTACGAAAAGTGTGCTAGGACGCCAGGTCACCATGCAGAAAAAGAGGGTCAGCATGGACGCAGCAGACAGAGCAGGCAGCACCTCCCAGTCCTCCTCACTCTGTATTCAGAGGACTCTGAGCAGCAGGGATGACATCAATGCCCCCAAGTCTCTTTGCTGGGTCATCACAACCTCTCAACTCCCCGTTTCCTCTCACTGCTGGACTCCCTTTCAGACTAATTAAAACTGAACTTCCATCCAGTTCTCAGATACTCGGAATACACAGCCAACCCTCCTGAGGCCCCCAGACAGATGGTGAATCCTTTAGCCAGGGAGGGGCTCCCTGTTCGGCTTGTCAGAAAGAAAACCTGAGAACTGCAGCAAGCAACAACTGCAGGCTATCTTGTATACTGCAAAATTGCTATTCCTTTAAACATACTGACACTAGGCTGGGTGTGGGGGTGCACACCTGTAATCCCAGCACTCAGGAGGCTGAGGCAGGACGATCGCTGTGAGTTCAGGGACAGCCTGGGCTACGTAGTGAGTTAAGGACAGCCTGAACTGACAAATGAGACCCTGTCTCAAAAAAAAAAAAAAAGAAGATATGCCTTAAACATACTGACATTTCCATGTAATTGCTTACGATACATTCCTGGACATTTTATTTTAATCTACTTTTTCTTTAGGGAGTTATAAGGTTGCACCTTTAAATTACAAAATACAAAGTAACCAATGATGTGACTTTCACATGCTACTTTCTCAAAGGAAAGCTTGTAAAGTTACTTATTATCTTGCACCCTTAAATAGGTAGGTACCAGCCACTTGGGTACATTATACTTAATACACACATAAAAGCCATGCAGACAGGGGTTAAGATGTAGAGAGGTTAGACAACTTGCCTAAGGTCACACACAACTAGGAAATACCAGACCCAGGAATTGAGTTTAGATTTTGGAACCCACACTCATAATTTCCTGTGCTTCTCACATGATGCAAAACTAACAATAGAAACTAAGAACAGGGTCAACAGGAGAAAACACCATAGAGCTGGAAAGAAACTCCCACCGACAGCGCACTCACATTCTAGGAAGCCACAAACTCTTAACTGTTTCGTATCCATACCCTTCTCTGAGACATCTGCCCAGACTTCAGGAATGAAGGTGTACTTTCCACTGGTGATCTGATCCTTCAATGACACTGGAGTCTTATGCTCAGAGAAAGGTGGATACCCACTAAGGCTTAACATTGGTAGAGAGAGAAAGGAAAAGAAATCAAGTGGTATTCTCAGCAGCATTCAGACGTGTAAATTTCTTTTCAGCATAATGAAAAATCAGGTTTCTCTAATTTAAACACAAGCTGTTGAACTGGACACAGTTATGATGTCATCTAATCACATCCAACCAGACAGTAACGTGATGAAAACTTTTCTTACCAGATAAACAGAATAACTCCTAAACTCCAGCAGTCCACAGCTCGGTTATACCCTGTAGTCCCAATAGAGAGAAGCACCTCAGGAGCCAAGTAAGTGGGGGTACCACATAAAGTTCTCATGAGAGAGGTCTCCCCCAAAATCTTGGACTGCCCAAAATCAGTAATCTAAAATTAAAGGACAAAAGAAATAATTTTCAACAATGTCACAAAGATCATAGTCTGTCAGTCCCCAGACATGTAAATCCAGACATGTAAAACAGAATAGTCTGGCCAGGGATTTAGCTCAGCAGTTCGGTGTGGCCTGCCTTGCAAGCACAAGGACCCGAGTTCAATCCCCAGTATCAAATAAATAAATAAATAAATAAATAAAATAGAATAGAATAGTCTGCACTACACAGTTCACACAGTTCATCTGAAACCTACAGATTCATATCTTTGGGGTTTTCCTTAGGTTTATTTTCTTTTTTCTTTTGTTTTGGTTTTCTTGAGACAGGGTGTTGCTATATAGCCTAGGCTATCCTTCAACTCATGGTGATCCTCCTGCCTTACCCTCCTGAGTGCTGGGATTACAGGGGTGCACCACCATGCCCAGCTACAAATGAATACTTTTGAAATCTAAGGTATTTTTTTGGTACCGGGGATCGAATTTGGGTCCTTGCACTTGGAATCACTGAGCTAAATCCCTGGCCCCAAGAATTTGTGGGGTTTTCTTTTGTGTTTTGGTTTTTTGTTTGTTTTTTTTTTGTTTTTTTTTTTTTTCCCGGGATGGAACTTGGGACTTTGCGCTCGCAA